TTGATGTTGAAAGTCCAAATCTTTGTTGGCAGCACAGCGAAATCTGATCGGTTCAAAACTCATTCTTTCTATTTAGCTAAATAGGATTTCGGTTTGATGCACCCAACTTTTTTAAGGAAATTAATTTGGGATGCACCAAGAGTCTGACAACAATTTAATTGTAAAAAGATCCAAGACTTTCAGGATCTTTTTCCTCTTTATCACAGGTAAATACGTTGCTCTTCAAACATTCTGAAGCATCGATATCTAGCCACGTTACCCAGATTTTCAATATATATGAGTAATCAGCGCGATCATATACAATAGTAGAAGCTCAAAAGTAGCCTTCGAATAAAACGTGAGTTAGGATGACCTGGAGCAGTTCTCATATATTCCATGAACTCCTGGTATACAAATGAACGGAATTCACAAACATTTCTTTACAATCGGAAGTCTCACTGTACTGTTAGAGACACTTATTTTATTCAAATATGTGTCGTTGTTTGAGACAAAACTGAGAATGACTTGAATGTTTTGTATATAGTACAAGCATCCACCAGTCATATCTTCTTTCATTCTCCTTCCATTATTTACTTTATCTCTTACTCACTAGACATCAACAAATAACTGTTATCTTTTCGAAGATTCCGCGAAAGGTATCACTTCGGGCTCCCGTTCGGGGTTCAGAAGATAAAAATCCACATCCACGTCGCAGAATTTGTATGGATCTGGGTGTGGATACTTGCCGCTCGTTTATCTTGAAGAAGTATGACGAACCGCCATGACACGTGTTTCTATCTCGGGTGTAGGCGTGGGTGTGGATGTGGGGTGTATGGGTGTGGGTATTTGCAGTGTGTATGGGTATTGCTGTAAAGCAGAAAAAGTTCCACACCAACGCTCTCACACCCGCACCCACCCTTAATGACTACTTCGGTGTGACAATAACTATTTCAGAAAGTGTGAGCGTGTAGATGTCACCTATGTCCTTTTATAAGAATACTCGTCTCGTATAAATTAATGTTAGTCCAATCATTAAAAAATATCTATCTATCATTAGAAGTATATGCAGTCGAAATAATTGATCATATTAAGCATAAGTATCCACTGACTAAATAAAGCAAAAACTAAAATATTATTGCATATGACGCCTAATGAAAATTTAATACATCACTCAATCATCTACTCATAACAATTATTCATTTTGTGTTTCATTCAATCCGTTGACGACGTAATCAAAGAAAATTTTATTCTCTATTGGGATAATTGCAATGATTCTTTTGATTTCTTATGAAGCTCGTTTTTCTTTACCATCACAAAGCAAACAGAAAAAGAAAAAATATTGAGTCATTATACCGTTAACTATGATGCTTTCATCTAGAGATAACAACGAATGATGGCCGAAAATAACGAACAAGGCGCTCGAAGGTGTTTTTTGCTCTTTACTCCTTTTTTTTGTTGCGTATAAAAACACAAAACGAAATTGAAACATCAATTACATTTCATTTTCTATTATCAAAACCAAACACATCAACAGAATGCCAACTGGTACACTTGAAGTTATTGTTGTCGAAGGACGGCATCTTAAAGATCGAGATCTTGTGGGTGAAAATGATACTTATGTGGAAATCTATTTAGATAAAAAATATAAACAACGTATAACAACTATTTCGAATTCAAATAATACTGTATGGAATCAATGTTTTACATTTAATCTTCAAAAAGGTGATGATACAATTCATTTTGATATTTATGATGCTGATGTTATTGGTCGAGATTCAATTGGAAATTGTAAAGTTAAATTGAAACATGTTTTCGATGATGGGTGTGGGTGTGGGTGTGGGTGTACGTGTAGGTGTAGGTGTAGGT